TAAATAAAAGAAAATACTTTTTGAAAAAAAAATTTTGAGAAAAATATTTTCTATTCTTAAGTTATTTTTTTGCAAACCAAACAGATGTTATTAAAAAATTAAAACCAATAACGTTAGATGAAGGGAGTACAAAGCTTTCTTTAAAAAAAAAAGGTTAATGCCAATTGTCATCGTTCTGTCATTGATAAAAGTTCAATTCAAATCTTCTACTATCAATTCACCATATGTCCTCCCTTTACTATTCAAAAATATATCAACATCATCCCTCAATCTATATTAGGGATAACGGATTGTTTATTAATTGTTTAAGTACAAATTGTTAGACATTTGAACATTTTTTTGTAAACTATACATAATAGGCCCCACCCATGTCACATCATCTCTCTTAGCTCTTCTCTTTGCTTGATTGTCCTAGACTTCTCACCTCCTCCCTCTGACGTGGACTTTGTAAGCAAAAATTCAATCTTTTTTTTTCTATTATTTTGCTTCCAAAATTTTCTTACTTTTCATACTTTTAATGCAATTGTATATTTTTACAATTACAATCAATTATCAAACTTAAAACCTAAGTTAAGGAATCTCTAGAAAAGGGGGCAAAAATCTAAGATCAACAACAAAGTAGACAAAGCCTTTAGAGATATACATTAAAAATTGAATTTTTTATGTTTATGATTAATTAATTGAATGAAGGATTTGTGGACATTAGTTAAATAATTTGAGTTTAGGTTTTCAATTAGGTTTAGTTAACTCAAATACTAGTACTAACTATTAGTTTATTAGATTGCAATACATCTTGAATGAATTCTTTTATTGTTATATGATAACTTGTGTTGATTTTATTAAGCATTTTCTATAATGAAAATTATGTAAGTGGGTATGTACTTTAACATTAGAGGTAAATTTGTTAAAAACTTGTATATGAGATAAGTTAGAGGTACCATTCATAGTTTGTGGTGTAATTATAGCCATGTAGATGTTGTTGGATTTAGATCTAAACTATAAGGTTTGAATGTTGATATTGATAGAATAAGTGATTTAGATTGAATAAGTAATTTTGTTTAGCATAATCACTTAAGGAAGAAACTTGAATTTGGACTTATGTTAATAGTTTGTTATGAACTAATTGAATGCATATTCCAACTACCTTTTGAGCATAGTTATGTTGATGTGTACGTGGAACATAAAGTAGAGATATTTGAATCAATCAAATGAAGATGGGCCTTACAATATTAGTAAGGCATCTCTAATAAATGGTGTGGTGCCGGTTGCTAAGGTTATGGTAGGTTTTGTTGTAAATTCACAAAAATTTAAGTCTCTTTTTAATGATGAAAAAGTCTAATTCTCACTCAAGATCACCATATATCAAAAGACAAAACTAATAGAACTACAGCAAGATAAGTCAAATTGTGGAGGAAGAAAGACTTGGTGGTGATAACTTCATAGATTTTCCTTGGTTAATTGATAACGATGATAAAGAATGGTATGAGGTATGCAGAATAGGCTAGTGAAGAAAAAGACTGGTGATAGGTTTGAAGGAAAAGAACAGCATTGTTGTTGTGTAATCTAACACAAGGTATGGTTGAAGAAGACAGTGATTCTATTGATTTAAGTGATAATGTCTGCTTTGTGACTACGAATGATGATAGTGAGGTTGAGAAAGCTAGAAAAAGAAGGTTACAACATAAGGTATTTGAGGACTCATTCCTTATTTCAAAGTTTGAAATTTGTATGATATTATCTTATAATACGAACACATAATGCCACACAATACATTATGGTTTAGAAAACTAAAATTTACTTTCAAAACCTTTTCCTTGAAAACAACAACATTCTTTTCTAGTTCAAACTATAAATTCTTTAAACATAAAGCTTCTTGTGTAAATTCAAACTCTCCTTGTTCACCTTAAGATCTCAGTCATCAATGTTTTCTTCTTTCTCTAACATTTTTTACTCCTTCTCCCAACAACATGTTAACCATGCCTTAGCTTGAAGGTCAAACTCATCATCATACTATACAAGCAATCACACCATAATTTTTCCTCATGTAGACGTTGTCCATGCCATTAAATCGTTTTAGCGTCATCCTTCTAGAAAAATCACGACCACCAGAATAATTATATTTACCCATATTTGATTTCAAAAATAGATTTCACAAATTTAGTAGGAAACAAAAATTATGCATGAATTCTAACATATAGGATATTTAAAGTAATTTCAAAATATTTGTCCATAGTTGAAATAGGTTAATAAAATTTTCCTTACTAATGGAACCATAGCAAAATCTAATATGTTGAGAATTCAAGCATGATTGTGAGGTGGAAGGAGAATTGAAACTTTGAGTATCTTTTCAAGACATTATCGAAGCCCAAACTTCTTAAATACACCTAATAATTTTATTGATTGTTGATGGTGTTGCTACTTTTGTTCTGGGGTTTCTCAGAAAATGGGTATAAAGGGAAGAAAGAAATTTAGGGACTTTTGATAATGAAAGAACTTTTCCTTTAAAATATTAATAAAAAGATTATGTGGTGCTAATGGGGCCCACCATCCATGATTGGCAAAAAATAAAAATAAAAAAGTCCATATGTTTGACTATTTATGCTTAAAACGGTCAATAAACTATCCATTGTCTCTAAAATCGATGAAAGGATGACGTTGATATATTTTTTAATACTAAAGGAAAGACATGTGAAGTTAAATAATAGTAAAGGAAAAACATGAGGTGAATCAATAGTAAAAGGTCTAAATTGAACTTTTTTCAATAATAAAGGGACGACAATTGACATTAACTCAAAAAAAATTATAATCATTACTTAAGAATTATATATATATATCTTAAGTAGTATAAGGAAGGTAGAGTATATCACCTCCCTTTCTCTCTCTTCTCTTTTTTTGGCTCTCTAAAAATAATTTTGATTTTATATCAAATTTATAAATATTTTGATCTTTAAAGATATTTGGATGGATAAAAGTTTTAAGGTGAACAATAACAATTGGTGTAATTTTATAAAACTTTTATCTATTTTATAATTATATTTTACTTAATTTATATCTTAATCCAGTTGTATAGAAACTTTTTTTTTGTTTTTATATTTTATTATTTTAAGAGTATTTTTGTAGTAGTTATTTTTTACTTTATATATTTGTGTGAAAATATTTTTTAACTTAATTTTAGAATTAATTAGGTTTTAAATCAAATAAATTCGGTTTGGTAAAACAATTTTAATTTTGCAAATTTTTATCTCAAAGTATTAAAAGATCTCTTAAATTTATTACAATATTCATAAACCTCTTTTTTTGCTTTCCATAACTAATTATTTAATACCAATTTTTAGCTATATATTTTATGCTACTATCTATTTTTAATAATAATTTGTTTCTTCTTTTAAAGACAAATATATCTCAACAACATGTAAATAGGTTTTATAATGCTAGTGTTAATGCTAATTATGCAGAAACCATTAACAAAAAGTTTATTAAATGTTACATTTACCAAAATTCTTAAATTTACTCTTTATTTGACACATGGATAAATTTTCTTATTTGTATTTTTTTATGTACTTATATTTTCTTTAATCCATTAACTTCACCCTCTAATGCCACCAGCAAATTCATTAATTTTACAATGTGACTTTCTACCATTTCTTCTCCATTAATGAGATTAAAACTATTCACCTTTCTCCTTATTTTATCTTCTTCATTCCAACTAGCATTTTAAAATTCTCTACTAATCTCCAAAATTTTCATTTCCTTTGTCCCCTTTAACTCTAATTTCTTTTGTTAATGCCTATTTAATGGTTTTGATATACACAAATGCCTAAGAATAAAGACGGAAGCAAAGTTCTGGACTAGGACTTAAGCCTTTTTCATCAAGCTTTAATCTAATCATGGCCCATGGTTGCCAACCAATAATCCTAGGCCTATATCAAGCAAAACACTATAGCAAAACCTGGCCAAACATAGGTTGGAGCAAAGTCCAAGTCCCAATCTTTGTGGTTGTTTGATTTGTTTGATTTTTTTATAGAGCCCTAAGATCTTATCACTTTTGTTTCAACAGATTAGATTTTCTAATATTGCTTCTTCAACTTTGTCATTCTGGTAACAATGCTTCTAAATTTTATTTTTAATTTGATTACATGTATTTATTATTGATGTGAGAAAGCCATCCAATTATTGTTCTTCATAGTTGAAAAGTTTCCTTTTCTTGATCAGTTATTGAAGTCTATTATTCATTTTGAGTGTGGATTGCATTTTTTGTGTGTAAAGAAATACTGATTATGTCCATGTTGAAATCATTATTTGTTTGGACATGTTCTCAATATTGGGTTGAGTTCGAGTGTTCTAATTTGTTTAAGGGTTAATTTATCTAGGCCAAAGCCCCTATTTGCACCCTCCATTTATTTGTTTTCCATGGTCAACACCTTCCAGAATTTTTCCTCCCTATTCACACCCTCCACTTTTCAAAACCCGTGAAAAACCCAATATTTTAACGGGCCGTCACGGCACCGTTAAAAAATATATTACGTGGCACCCAAAAATTGACATGGCACTATGTAACGTTAATAATCCAACGTGGATCTTTTTTTTTTTATGATGTGGACGCCATGTATACA